CTTATGACAGATAGTCTTGAATTAAAACTATATATCAATTCTTAACTCAACAATCAAGATAAATTTCGCCAGACTACGTCAACACTATAAAATTACCACAAACTACTTTCAATAATAAAATAAGTGATACAAATTATAGTAGTACTAAACTAAAAATATAATAATAATAATCAATAATCAACACAATCTGCAGATGGAAAATAATGATATAAAATACTGTTAAGTAATACTGACAATAAAATAATAATAAATAATAATAATAATTATAATAATTGTTATAGTTATAATATTAATAAAGTATTTGACAATTTCACTAACGTCATCCATGATCATGACAATGAAGTTGGGTTTCACTGAGGTCGTCTTAGGCTCGGAATATACATTGGAGACATCACAGTTTGATGGGCAGAAGTTAAAACTTATGAAAATTGTAATGAGTAAAAAATAATTTAGCCTGATCATGATTCTATTTGTTATGAGAAGTTTTTAATTTGGGTTATTTATGTTTTAGTCTAGTCTACCTTGTGTAAAAAAAAGTATTTTGAATGTAAAATAGGTGAGATTTAATTCAAAATTCTACATTTGTTCATTAGAAATTAATACTTTTACAATGTTGTAACACTTTCAAAATGAAATTTGGCCTATGCTATGCCAACAAATCGTCAAAGACCAAACAGAAGAATTCTGCTTGTGCAAAAACCAATGTAAACAAAGAATGGTAACCATACATTTATATATACAATGTTTAGTCTGTATACAATATGTATGGAATGTATGTATGGATTGATGGATGGTTGGTGCATACAATGATTGTATGTTGATTGTATATTGATTGTATGTATAATGGTATGCATAAGGATGTTTGTACGTATATGTGTATGATGCAACTGGAATATAACTTTGTCATTCATCATTTATCTATAATGACATCAATCAATATTATTGCTGTTGTTGATGTATTTGAAATATTATTATTTATGTTGTTTTTGATCTATTTAAAAAAAATTAGATGAGATATTTGTGGTATTTTCGGTATGAAAAGATTGAATTATTCAAAATTAAAAGTGAATTTTTTTTAAAACGTATCCATGGTCAGTTTAAATTTTAAAGGAAGCTAAATTAGAATTTCAGTTTAAAATAAATTGAAAATTTTGGCAAACTTTCGATCAAAAATACTCTCATATTTCCTGATTTGAATTTCGGTGCGGAGATGTATTTTAATTTTTTACGTTTATTTATATGTAAATTAAAAAATTGTAATGTTAATAATGTGTAATCGTAATGGTAATCACTGTGTAATTATGTAATCGTAATCTGTTTTTCTTTAAATTAAAAACTTTCACATTTTTGATTATTTTTTATACTTAATTATTTTAATTTGGTTAATAATTAAACCACAAATGTCCCTATGGAAGATTAAGTCCGGTTATTTATTCATTTGTCATATGGCGGATTAAATAGTCATAAATCACTACAGACTGCTTTAAAATACAGAATACACTAATGACTAACTAAAATAATATAATATACAATATAACGAGATTTTTATTATACTGGTAATCTTGAATGACAGGCCATTTAACTCCTCCCAGCAAATCTAAATCAGAATAGAAATTATATTGCAATTTTATTGTGTTGAAACACTGTGGAATTGTACAGATAGAAAAAAAAGATCGAGAATCCATCATATGATCATGTCTGTACAGTTATAAAGAAAGTAGCATTGATCACCATCCTATGGCACTGTCATTTCTTGCCAGTGTATGTGTATATGTATGTATAGTGTGTGTGTGTGTGTGTGTGTGTTTGTGTGTGTTTGTGTGTACTGGTGTGTGCAAATCTCTTGTTTGAATTTTAAGCAGCTCTTTTATTTTGAGAAAAATTTGCATCATCTAGGTTTATTTTCAATTTTTCACAAATAAACCTGAAAATTAATAGTTGCAATATATGAGTTCATACGTAAAATATAAGAAATAATAAAATAACATATATTATAATATATTATCGATACATACATGCAAGCAAGGCATCCTGCCATAAATGATTACATACGTAGATTATTCCAGAAAGTAGATACACCTGCCATTAAAGAACCAGCAGGCTAACTATCTGACGGTAATCAAAGGCCAGACGGTTACACTTTGGTGCCCTGGTCTCAGGGTTGCTGTTTATCTTGAGATGTGACGTTCCCCCACACATTTTGGTCGAAAGGAACACCAATTACACGTCTTGCTGTGAAAGCTGCCGATTTTAAGAACGCCAAGTAGAAGGATCTCTGTGTGGAGACATTCGGTCCAGTTGATAAAGGGACGCGATTATTTTTTGATAACATAGGTAATAAAATATTTATTAAACCCGGAGATCCAAGTGATAAAATTCATATAAAACAAAATATATTGTTGTCGTTGCAATAGTATAATTCATTTTGTATTTTAGTGAATATTTCTAAATGCCCTTCTGTGCCAGACCCCAGATATTCTTATATAAACTGTTGAAAGCGACAGGATGGTTTTTATGGCTATTGTTTTAAAACGTGGTTCATACATACATACATACATATATACGTACAAACATACATAAAATCAAACATCAATTCAGATGAAAATATGACAAGTTTGGAACGTGTTTTCATCACGGCCTCGCTGTGATTAGATAATAAAATATTCATCAGGATTCTGTATGTATGTATGTGTGTGTATGTATGTGTTTGTATTGTATTACCGGATGTATATGTACTGATGTATTCTTTGTATGTATGTTTTAACGTACGTATGTATGTAAGTATAGTATGTGTTGTGTATGAAATGTATGTATGTATACATATATATATATATATTTATATGTATATATATAATTTTATGTTTTTTTACTAGCAAGATATGTAATGGACGTATTTTAAAAATTCGAATATCATGTATTTGATATAATGGTAACAATATTAAAATAATAATATTTAGAAAATAAATAATATATAATAATAATAATAAATATTTTTTGAGAAATATGGAGAGGTAGTGATTTCATTGATTTAAGAACTGATAGAAAATATACATGTAGATGAGGTTTGAATGATTGAATGTGTGTTCGTGTGTGGGTTTGTGTGGGTTTTTTGTGTATGTGTGTATGTGTATTCTTGTGTGTGTGTGTGTGTGTGTGTGTTTGTGTTCATTTTTGTTGATATTTCCAATATTTCCAAATTTTTCCGAGACATTTAATTTTTTCATACCTTTTTAAAGTTTCGGCAACATCAAAAGCGATAATGATGAAGAGGAAACAAGGCAACAACAACGACAACCACAACCACAATATCATCAACATCATCAACAACAACAACATCAACAACTTGAAAATGTTGAAGACGAGGAAATTGATCAGACTCCTATCAATGCTTCTTACTGGAAAGCAATGTCCGATGATAGAGATATCAGGGTTAGATGGATCAATCAATACTGAGTTTTTTTCTTTGTTCATTCTTTCGTCCATTCATTCATTCATTATTTATCCATTCGTTCATTCATTCATCCATTCAATCGTTATTTTTCTTCGTTTGTTCATTCGATCATTCACTTATTGATTCAGTCATTTTAATTACACAGTTAGTAGCTTGTTTAGTCTTCTGTTATCCGCTCATCATTCATCTATCCACTCATTCGTTCATCCATTTTTTCATCCAATTTTTTGTTCATCCATTAATTAGTTTTTTCTTTTCTTTATTTTCCCGTCCATTCGCCCATTCATCCAATCATCAAAAAATGCAATCATTCATTCATTCATATATTTTCTGATCTCACCATTCAATCACGCATTCCTTGATCCATCCATTCATTCATTCATTCATTCATTCATTCATTCATTCATTCATTCATTCATTCATTCATTCATTCATTCATTCATTCATTCATTCATTCATTCATTCATTCATTCATTCATTCATTCATTCATTCATTCATTCATTCATTCATTCATTCATTCATTCATTCATTCATTCATTCATTCATTCATTCATTCATTCATTCATTCATTCATTCATTCATTCATTCATTCATTCACTCACTCACTCACTCATCCATTCATTCATTCATTCATTCCCAAAATATTTCACCATAGATAGCAGAACTGATAGAACAGATTGCATCCATCCACAATCACTACATGACCGAGAGAGAGAAATTAGTGAGTTTAGAGTTTTAATTATCTTTTTAAAAAAAAATATTATTATTATATTTATTATTATTATTATTATAAATAGTAGTATTAATAGTAGTAGCAGTAGTAGTAATAGTAGTAGTGTAATAGTAGTGGTGGTGGTAGTAGTAGTAGTAGTAGTAGTAGTAGTAGTAGTAGTAGTAGTAGTAGTAGTAGTAGTAGTAGTAGTAGTAGTAGTAGTAGAGTTGTAATATTCCATTAAAGTTTTTAGAATACAATCTATATAAATCCTTTGAAAAAATAAAACTTACTTTATCAAACTTATAACCTTCGATCAATAATGAACGACTGCCTTCTACCTCCAATAGATTTCCAATTACGAATCTAAAGTCGAGTATTTAGAGAGAGAAAGCTCTAAAAGAAATGAAGAGATTAATTATCTAACTGAAAAATTGACCTTTCTGAGTAACATTAAGTTTCAAAGCGAAGCCCTTAAGAGAGAGCTTAGTGAGGTAAGAATGTATGAGATTTTTTAATGACGATGACTCTGATGATGATAATAATAATAATAATAATAATAATAATAATAATAATAATAATAAACGATAATAATGATAGTTCAAAGTTTATATTGAAGTTTATATATATATATATATAAACTTAACGAACCGACATGAAAATGCTCCGATGGATGCAACGAATTAGTCTAAAGGACCACATCAAAACTACCGAAATCCTGCGTCGTGTTAGCTTAGATGATACAAAGGACGAATGCCGGCAACACCGTCTGAGGTGGTTTGATCATGTCAAACGAAGTGGAAACTGTGCCATAACTTCTCTTGCAGAAGTTGAAGTACCTGGCACACGTCCCAAAGGCCGTCCGAAGAAGTCCTGGTCGCAAACAATCGAGCAAGACATGAAAGCTTTAAATTTAAATGAAATGGATACAACTGATCGTCTAATTTGGCGCAAACAAATTGATGGCAAAGAAAACAACGTCCTACCTCGGGGAACTGGGTCTCTGGACGCTAAACGAAGATTGATTGATTTATTGAATCATATTAATATTTAATAATAACAAAATTTCAGGTTAAAACTACAAAAAATTCGATGAGAAATATATCTGCCATAGATAAATTAGGCAACCTCACCAAAGAAAAGTAAAAATAATTGATTACCATTTTATTTATTATTATTACTGTTATTATTACTTAATTTATGATGTAGTGCCAGTCAAAGCAGTATTCTATTGTATTATTAGTATTAATAACGCCAGTTTGTTTTGGGCCTGCAAGATGTTCATAGGTGAGGTAATATTGGTATGAAAGCGAGGTAATTATACATACAAATATAACTAATTTGTTTAAATGCTAAAAAAAGGGACCTAGACAAAACATTGAAGACAGTTCTACAAGAGAACATGAGGCTGATGAAAACTTTAAACTATCACATCGAGGAGAGCAAACGGCTTCGCAAGTCGAACGAAAAGCTGAAAGAAGAGAATGACTTTTTGCAATCCGAGAAGGAAACAGCTGAGATGTTGAGTTTTCAAAAAGTGGCGGTATCTAGGAAACAGAAACAAGTCATTTCTGAGCTCCAAGGAAAAATATCAACTCTAGAATCTACCCTACAAACCGCAGAATCTACGATAAGCTCAAACGAAAGAGCGCTCGTTCTAGTCCAAAATGACGTAACTAAAAGCAAAGATAATAAACTAGTCACGCTTGAAAAAATGCTCGAATTAAAGTCCAAAGAACTGAAGAAGTTGAAGGTATCGAATAAAAATTTTGAGAGAAAAAAGTCGGATGTTGAGACCTTCCTCGTCGAAGCTCTCTCTGACGTCAGGAGACAAATGGAAATTGAAAGGTGGGTGTAATAATAATCATAATAATAGTAATAATTATTTAAAAATAATCGCGAACCAATGCATCATACACATTGCATGCACAAAAGTGCCTGCAGGTGAATTAACCAATGCACAATTAATTCAATGAAGCATTTTTATTATAAGGAATCAAAAGAGAAAGCAGAAGGACAGGGAGGAGAACTCAAGAATATTGGAGATTACCTTGAATAATTGTAACAATAACAGCAAGAAAAAACTCAATTCCAAGATTTCCACATTTAACAGAAGGTGTAGCAGTACTAGTAACATTCTCTCTAAACTAGAAATTGAAACTAAGTTAGTAAGCGTGGGATGGTTGCTACTGGTTCACGATGACGAACTTATCGTAAATTTTTTCTTATAAATGTTATAGATAGATAAATTTGTGGAATGATGGTTTTTTTCTTTCATGGGTACACATACATTCATGCAACTTTATTTTCTGTGGTTTTATCTTTCATCTATGTGTTGTATAGAGACGACAGGACAAATTAACAACTTGAATTTCATACAAGGGCAATTGTCGTGTGGGTAGATAACTATGACAGATTATAGTGAATGAGAAAAAATCAATTAATCAGTCAAAATTTTGCCAAAACCACCAAATTCCAAAAAACAGACCAAACCCAGACGAAGAAATGGACGTCACGACGCTAACCTGGCCGCAGAAAGAGCAAGTTATCAAGCAGCTGATATTGAAACTGAACTCTCACAGAAACAGCGCGCAAACGACGAAAAGTAATAACCATGTAGATGGCCCAAATATCAACAACACTAACAGTGCTAATACTTCAAATGTTGTACAACATAACTCTGCCTACCCACTTCAGATATTGGACAGAGAGAATACGTTAGTGTACGATTTTACCCATATACTCCTTCTATTACGTTATAATAATCATAATTTTCATTCGAATTCATATTTTTTTCTATAATTATAGACATCATAGATATAATTTTTATTGGTAGTTTAATTTAGTTAATATTTGAATCTTAAAAATTGTCTTAATAACAATTAAAGGGGCTTTATTTTAAATTTTTAGACACAGCAAACTGCTGCCAGATATAACGAAGTCATTCTTTGTTACTGATGTTGATTTCTGAGCAATCAAATTTTATCCATACGCATTACAGACTAAAGAGTTTTCAAATCATCACTTAATCAATCAATCAATTAATTAATTAAAACTGTTAAATAATTAATTAATATTATTACTATTGAAACATTTGGTCGAATCCCGAATGATATTTTCACTTTTGAAAGGAAAATTCATTTTTAATTTTTCAGTTTTAATTGAATGAATAAAAACATACAATGATTGTATGCAACAAGTCATGATCGAACATAAATGCATCTTTTTTTTTGTATTTTTCGTCAGCATGCCCACATCTTAACAAAATGAAAAATGGTCAACAACCGAAGATCAAATGAGTAAAACAATAAAAAAAGAGAGAAAAAGAGAGTATGAAACAAAAATTGAATCAGAGAGGAGAAGCCAAAGCATATCAGGAGGTGCAATGATGGAGATGGTTACTGAGGGCAGAGGCAGACGTGAAGACCCTCTTACACTTCGAACACCTACGCATAAGATCTTCATGCTCTGTCTGCTTATGTTGCACTAGCCCTGCTCGATTCCTAAAAGTTTTGTTGCAGTGCTCACAACCGACGGCACCCCGGTATTTGAATGGTAGTTTATCAGGGTGGTTTATTCGCATGTGCTGGATGAGGGCGCTGTTCTGAGCGAAGGTACTGTCACAAACCTCGCACTGCTTTCGTTTGCCAATGCCGTGAGTTTGTCAGTGATACTTGAGGCATTTCCTTATCTTCATACTCTTCTCGCAGATTGGACAGACGTAACACATGCCATTTTTTTGAAACACCAAATGTTCTTTATACTTGATAGCGTGATAGAAGACGTGGTTGCACGTTAGGCAAGTATATTTCTTTAATTCACCTTTTGAGTTTCTTTCGGCTTTATGCTCCGAGTGCGCACTATTCAAATGTTCTGTATAACTGACTCTACCGTAACACACTTCAGAACAGTGCTTACATTTCATGACCATGTGTACTTTCAAGTAGTGAGTTCTTAGCTGGCTGTATGTTGGAAACCTGAGAGCTGCAGATGGTTTGCAGCGAGAACATTTGAAGTAGAAGCCTCTATGTTCCATTTCGTGCTTCTGCAGCATGTGTCGAGCAGGAAATTCTTCTCTACATTTGGAACAGTTGAATGATTTTTGGTTGTTAACGTAGGGGAGGTTCATGTTGTGAACCGTGTTCATGTGCCGAACATATGTCTTCTGCTGGTGGAATATCTCCCCACATAATTCACATAACGGTTTTGATACTCTCGGCTCTGTTGATCTGCCGGTGAGTCGTACTTTTTCTGATTTTATATTGTAGAAATTTTTTGTCATGTCATTGGCTGATGGTGAAAAATCATCTCCCAGTAAAAATTCATCATCATCATCATCGTCATCAAGGTCAGAATCAAAGTAGTCACTGTTATCTAAAGTTTCATTCTTTACAGTCATCTCATTGGGGTTTGATACCTTTCCATTGCTGTGGCCGTTCAAAATGTCTTCCAACACTGAGCACCTTTCAATTTTGTCACCTGGTTTCTTCAAAGTGACAGAGACTTTGAAGTCTATGACCCCGGAGAAATCATTCAAATCGTAATGCTGGTTCATAACTTCAAAATAATCAACATTGAAGTTCAAATTGAAATGAGTGGCAAACTCTTTGAAGGAGTATTTCTTGTCCAAGTCCATGCAGAACTTCTCTGGCACTGGAAACTCCTGGAGTTTCAATGAAATGAAAATTATTAAAATTAAATATATCATTTCTTGAGTTTTTAATTATTATTATTAATCAAAACGTGAGAAACAAAATCAACGACATTCAATGAATAGACAAAACTATAAAATTTAAAAAAAAAATTTTAGAGAGAAAAGAAATCAGGTTGACAAACCTCAGTACTGGCAAACAGTAATTGATTAGTTGATTCTCCTGAATCAAATTTTGATTCCTCCATCATATTCATGGCGGTCGTAACTTTCCCTTCATACCTGAATTGTCAAAATTAAAAATCCTACTTAATACAAAAAATATTTCCTGAAATAAAAAATATTTGGCTTATTTGATGCAACGGCTACAATTGGCCGTAAATTTATTTCAATGCCAACGCAACGCAAAAATATTTTTTTTTACAAATGGCAACACTGCGTGTGTATATCGCGAGCCGACGTCCGCCCGTATAGCTGTTGAATCTGCCGATTAGTGAATCCGGCAAAAGTAAAACATAAAAATTTTAAATAAGAAATTGAAAACTTACAACCAAAAAACAATTCGATTAATAGAAGTAACTTTGAAAAAAATTTGATTGCTGCGAGATTCGTCAATCTAAAGATCGTACATTCGACAAACGTATTTTTGTAAGGTTCCTAATTTGGAACCGTTTTAAAATTAAACAATTTTGCGCGCAAAACACACTATCGGATTTTATTTAAGTACAAAAATGAACAAAAGTCTGGAATCATGTTTTTTCATAGCCAAAGAAAACATTTAAAAAACATTTTCATATCTCAATAATGACAAATTAATATACAAAACAGTAACTAAGTATGTATATCATACAAATTGTATTTAACATCAAAATTACAATAGCGAATATTAAAATTTTTTATAAGAAATCTCTAATAATAATATTTTAACATTTAAATAAAACAAAGGTATTAATCTATAATCTGATTCAATTAATCATCCTAACTCCACTCTCATAATAACTCCACTCAATAATTCGACCTACAAATCTAAGAAGATATGTATCTCTCCCTAACATTCCTAACTAACGAACAACTGGGGTCTGCTTCATCTGAAGAAGAATTGACCTCATCCTCGATACATCTTTATTGTTCCTGGACCCCTTCGGATTGAAGTCGCAGAGACGACAGACACGCTCCCACTCACCACCTGGTTTCTTCTCATCACGTTCCTGAACAAAGGAGCCCTCAGAGTCCCTGAAATTGAAGAAAAAAAAAATGGAAAACTTTAATTTATAAATGAGTAAAATACAAATAATTAAAAATAATTTTTTATTATTATTACAAATTATAAGTTATTGAATGCTTCACACCAACAAGAAAATAGCCAATTATTATAAAATATAAAATGAAGCATAAACAAAAAGAAAAATAGAAATTTATAAATTTTTTCCATTTCCAAAAAACCCATAGAAAGCAATCTTCTTTTAATAAATCCAAATTATTAATCCAGATTAAACTTTAATTAATATACATTTATTACTTTAATTATCAAAAAGTGAAAAGAATTTTCTAACACTTCAAAGTCATGCCCATAAATGTAAGAAAGAGAAAAAACAAGATAAAAACAAAAATTTAATATAGGTAACAAAAAACTTCGAATTCGAAAAATCTTAACGACCAAAACGTCATAACATGCACCACGAAAACGTTATCAAAGACATTACATTTATTACCCACTTATAATATTTAGATTTTGTCTACAACTTTAATCTTTTTATCAAAATTTATTCAATAAAACTAAATAAATAACTGATGAGAGATTGAACTATAGTCATCTAACCCGTTCAATCCAGATCTTAATGCCAACAGTACAAATATTTTAAAAAACAAATTATAAATTTATTCATTCATTTAATTAATTATATCCATTTAATTTTTAATTTATTTTAAAATAATTACATTAAAAATAAAATTAGTAAATGAATAAACATGTAAGAACTCTCTATAACCTAAACACGACCACAAAATGCATACAATACACATAAGTACGATCAATGCATCAAACAATTTTTATCTAAAATAAATAAAAAATAAATAAAACATTAAAAAATTATTTATAAATATACAATTATAAAAAATTTACAGATGAATAAATAAAAACATACAGTATAGAAATCATTCAATACGATAAGCACATAACAAAATTGATAAATTTCACTGAACCAGCAATACTAAAAATTAATCCCAAATTAATTATGTCCTAAATAATAAATCCACGCAACAAAGTAAATATTTCTGTGCCATAGATACATAAGCAAAAAATAAGAAAACGAAAATAAAAAAAGTTTTTTTATTATCACCTGTTTACTTTCATTGTCTTGTCCAAGAGTTCATCTCTATGTTTGTACCATTCCTCGAGTTCCTTCCTGGCAATGTCTCGCCACTCTGCCTTCTTCTTCTCAGATTCGGCATCTAAATTTAGGTAGAAAAAAAATAAAATAAATCACAAGGAAAAAAGGTCAATAATTTTTTCATCCATTTTCATCTACTTAAATCTGCTAAATTTATTACTTAACAAGTGTTTGGTAATAGGAAGAATAAAAGACAAAGAATAAATAATAATAATAACAATGACCTTTGACCCTTAGCCTTTCAGCTTGCTCCTCCCTCCAAATCCTAATCTTCTCAGGTTCCTGTTTTAGTTTGTCTTGATTCTTTATTGCGCTGAACTGATCACTGTCATCCGCACCAGGGTACTAATTTGGAGACATAAAAAAATTTATGACATAATGATAATCTTTTCATAGATATTACAAGATATTACATTTTAATATTATTTTACTTATTGTGAAATAAAAAATATTTTAATACTTTTATTGAAGTTTTTTAAATTTAAAACATTTATACTACACCTTAGTGTCCCAAATTTCTCCACCGGCCGAGGGAATGATGGTTCCGTAACCGAGGGAGGCATTAAATTCTTCTTGAAGGTTGTTCCCACCGTTTGCGTTGTCATTCTTTAGGGCCGGGTCTACTGAGAGGCCAAGTTCGCATTCTAGGTGGGGTTTTTGTTAAAATTTTACAAACTTAGTTATATATAAAAAATATAAATAAAGTATTTAAAATTTTAAAAATCATAATGTTTATTTACAGGTTCAAAAATTAACCCACACAACATATTATAATTTATAATATCTCTAATAAATTTAACACAGTAGTAAAGAACCTCTTTCTCTCTCTTTCTTTCTCTCTCAAAAATTCAGAAAAGTGATCAAGTGAACCAAGTAGACAAGTGAAAAATTTTTTTTTAGATTAGTAGTGAATTAGAAAGGAAAATAACTTGCTCATAAACTGACCGCAGGTCAACAACTGTACAGTAAATAATGTACAATGTACATTTTTTAAAAATTGAATATATAACATTACACACCATTATTGAAAAACAGATTGAAAAAAAATGTCACCAAAATTATCTTGTAACTCCGCCAGTTGTGTTTGTTCCCTTTGTAGAAAATCTGCCACCGGATCTTTCTCGATTTCGTCAGTAAAAAACTCATCAGCGGCGGCCATTTTAGGAAAGTTAGGACTGCTAGAAGGCGAAATTGACGACAAAAACGCAGTAAACTAAGCACTGAATTTATACAAAAAAGTCGACGACATCTAAAAGTGGGCAGAACCAAGACGCTATAATCTCTTCCTTAAATAAATAAACTTAATTTATTAAATAAATAATTTAAATTTTGTTATATAAACTACAAAAATTATTTAATATCTATTAATCAAAACGTTTAATTACTTTTGAATTATTTTGATTTTTTTAATAAATGCTATTTTTCTTATCTTGGTTTTACTCTAGATTCACTTTTTATTTCACAACATTACTTCAATTTTTTCATCGGTGGAATTAAAGTCGATTCGGTAATTAAACTGCTTTTTATAAATTTATTTCGTAATATATTTTAAAATAAAATAAATAAACTACTTAATAACGTAATATACAGGACTAAGTGCAACACAAATCGTTACAACAAGTAGTTACACACACATACAAAACATGAATGAAAGCGAAGATGAATACGAAGAGGTACATACTACATAGTACATATGGTATTAAAATTAAATTTATTAAAAATTAAAGTTATAACGCTTTGGCATGCATTTTGGCATGCATGCCTTTTTTATGTATGTTCATTCATTCAATAAAACATTTTTTTAATTTTTGATTTGACTATAATATAAATTAGGAGTTAGTGTGCGTTGATCTGTCTGACCTTATTGATCACAATTGGTCCCATTTTGTCGGAACGAAATGCAAATTTATTGTTAGTTTTTTTTTCGTTTTAATTTTATTAAATTTTAATTTAATTTGTTTATATAATTTTGTTAAATTGTATATTAAATTTATAACTAAAGTAAATAAATAAATAATTGGAAAAATAGGTAGATGGATAAAGAAATGAATTATATGATTGAATAAAAAATTAGATAGATATAAAATATATATTATACAATTGTATAATACATTATAACATGTTTATTTTCAGAGTTTAGATTCAGAGAAACCCGTCATTCAAATGGGCAAGCATATTTTTCAAGGTGAATACAAGGATACAGTCGGAACAAGACTTTTTTTCGATCCCGAGCTAGGTAGCTGGGATCTTAATTATTATCATTGTTTTTATTATTTTTATTTCTTCTTCTTATTGTTATTGTTGTTTTCAGTTTTTGGTTGGTTTTGGTGTTTTGTTTTGTAATTTATTTATATCCATATTCATTCATTCATATTTATACACTTATTCATTCATTCATTCATTTATTTATTCATTCATTTATTCATTCATTCATTCATTCATTTATGCGCTTAATCATTCATTCATTCATTCATTCGTTATATTTGTGTTCATTGTTTGCTAATTATTTAAAAAAAACCACATACAACAGTTGGAAACGACATCAAAGATAACAAAGACAAAATATATCGATCATTCAAAATACTCGACATACATAAAGTTTTCATTAGAGATAAAAATGATGACAACAGCGAAACAGCTGCTACTGAATCTATGGACGCCGATAACGCAACCACAACTACTACTACCACTACTGACAGCAATGATAATAATGATGACGATGATGATGACGATGATGACGATGATGAAGGTCCAAATTGACTATAATACAACTTTTACCACTACTAATACTAAAATTGTTATTAATAATAACATTAATACATTACTATCACTACTACTACTACTTCTAATACTACCACTACTACTACTACTGCTACTACTACTACTACTACTACTACTTCAAGTACTACTACTACTACTACTTCTGCTTCTATATTTTGTATACTTTTGTATAAGATAAGCTTGAAAGTTAGGCATTTATTTCGAATGATATCGACTTGTGAAAAAGTGTTTAAGAAAATTTCTTTTAAGTTCTTCAGACGTGTCGTATTGATATGTTATTATAGTCGTTATCTTCTTGCGTGACAGTGAGCTATTTTAAAATTTCCCACCTCTAATGGGAAACATTTAATACACATCACCATTTCGTTACTTCATTCAAATGTGAAAAATTGTAGCAATCCTGCTCATTAAATTTTCAACTTCAATTGAAGGCAGCATATTTTCAAGGTTCATCTCAGCAATCGTCTACCAACTACGCCATGATTGGTAGATGATTGCTAAATCTGCGTTCGCTTTTTCAGCCCTGTTCTCTTAAAGTCTCTACCTCCTTCTCTAACTACTTCTCCATCACTTACGAAATTCGGGATTAACTGAAGAGTGTTGTTGAACATGGCTGAAATGGCACTTTATAAACTACTTGAGTGATTGATTGATTGATTGAGTGATTGATTGATTGATTGATTGATTGATTGATTGATTGATTGATTGATTGATTGATTGATTGATTGATTGATTGATTGATTGATTGATTGAGTGATTGATTGATTGATTGATTGATCGATCGATCGATCAGATCTATTTGAAAATTTGGAGAGAAACTTCATGTGACGGGGCAGCCGATTTTAATTCGCACGTGAACGGTCAAAGGTCAAAGCCTAGGCCGGCTCTAACTCTAACCCGAGAACCAAAAACCACTCATTTGTTTAATACAATTAAAATACTTATACTCAAAAACAAAGAGCTATATAAATAAATAAAAAAAAACTTTTAAAATATGTATATACGTAAAAATGGTTTCGTAACTTAACGGGCAACTCAAACACGATTGTGTGTGGCATATTGTTTAAGAATGCTTTCACATTCTTGAATAAAATAATTACAACTATAACATCACAGACACACATTCACACACACACACACACATATATATATATATATATATATATATATAGATACATAATCATTAAGTATAATTTACATATTTTATATACATTTTAAATCAACAACATTGACAAAAATATTTCAGGCCGAGATGAAAGAAATGTTATACAATAAAACATACACACGGACAAACACACACACAGACACACACACAAAAGAATAATTGAAATAAATTACTTTGACAAGAGTATTTTAGATGAATAGTATTTTTCAGATCGAATAGATACGTATGAATGACGGTTTTTGTTTTTCAAGTGTAATTTTCTGTATGTGAATGAGTGTGTGTGTGTGTGTGTGTGTGTGTATGTGTTTGTGTGGTGTGTGTGTGGGTGATTTATTTGTCAAAATATTCAAAGTTTTCGAAGATATTCATTTTAAAAGGAGTTCTGTTGACGTTGTTGTTGGTTTTGTTGTTGTCTTTCAAGTCGTCGGTGTCTTTGCTGATGACGTTTTCATGTTTCTGTTGTTGTTGTTGTTGTTGTTGTTGTTGTTTCTCTTGTTGTTGTTGGTTTGGCTTTCCATAACCCTCGTTCTTTGTTCTTTCAACTATCATTGTTCATTTTAGACATTGAATAATCGTTTTCAATGTCATCAAATCCACCATCATCACTATTATCGTACCCATTATCATCAACAGCACGATCATCCTCACCATCAAAATCATCATCATTATGAAATACACAATCATCATCGTCATCATCATTATCCTCACCGCTCACCGTCATGGATGTTATGAGAACCACCACCACCACCCCCACCACCATCGTCGTCGTTGTAGAGCTGCAAGTAAAACGGACTTCCGCAATTTACTTCCGGTATCAGATAGTCCCCATCATTATCAGCACCGCCGCTCCCAGCATCATTATCAGCACCGCCGACAGCGTCATTGCCGTATTTCATCCTAGCGCAATCATTACCATCATCATTGCTAATTCTTTTCCACGGCGGAAAGACGGACGGTGGCGAAGACAACGACGTCGCCGACGGCTTTAGCAGCGCGGCAGCCGACGACGACGATGACGGGCGAGTCGACGACGATGACGTCCTGGACGATATCATGGATGACGTCATCAGAGTTGATGACGATGTTGATGATGATGATGTTGGAGTGGCTTGATGTTGGAGTTCCAAATAATTGCCTTCGTGGAATAATTCAACGTTCTTATTATTATTGTTATTATTGTTGTTGTTATTATTATTATTGTTATTATTATTATTTGTTATTTTCATTCTCACTGCTATTTGATCTTTGTTATTTTGATTAATGTTAATATTATTACTGTTGTTGTTGTTGCAGCTGTTCTTGCTGTTGCTGTTGTTGTTGCTGTTGTTGTTGCTGTTGTTGTTGCTGTTGTTGTTTTTCATTCTTATGAGAGGCATAACGACCGTATCGTCGTCTGTGACGTCATCCTCGATTTTGTTGTTGCTGTTGTTTTCGTTGGACGTAATTGAGAATAGTTTATCTTTGTTTGGAAATTTCGTCGGTTCTGGGGTGTACCTATGATTGTAAACAAAAGAAAGTGAGAAAAATAATGTAAAGGAATAGATGTAAAAAGATCAATCTAATTATCTCTATTCAAAATATATCTATGATGATATCTGGGATATCTCATAAGATATGATATCTATCTACATCGCGAACACAACAATGAACATATTAGCTTTGTTAATTCATACAAATACACGTACACACACACACACGTACACAAAAACACGTACACACACACACAAAAACGTATATTTAAAAATTAAAATCACACGAAAATGTATGTAACCTTGGCTGGACGCCGTCATCGAGCGAGTTATTATTATTATTGTTATTGTTGTTGTCGTTGTTGTTGTTTGTAGGGTAGAGTTTCAACTTCCATGTTTTTCTGGCTGATTTTCTTGTTTTTCGACCTTTTTGCTTCACCGCTTTTGCCTTCGTAGTGTTAGTTCATTACACATTTACACATGAATTTGACGGGTTGTTCATGTCAGCATAATATAATAATAATTATAATAATAATAATAAAGATAATAATAATAATATATCATTAAACTATCTAAAATTGTGGTAGATTGGTATGATATGCCGGCAAGCAAGCTTGCTCAGACGGTAAAGACGCCACGCGTCGTTGTTATTGGATGGCGACCTGGTTCGAATGCTACCTTTCCCCAACCCAACACAACCAGGTTGGTTGTTACACGGCACTTCCTGTGGTGTGTACGCACATATGAATGGAGCACTGGGTCGTATGTAATCGCCAGATTGAAAATTAATTTGTATGAATTTGATTCGGTAATAAATATAGCACGAAAATCATTTACCATATCTTTGCTATCCTTTTCAACGTCATCAACGACTACTACTTTGTTCAAACGGCTTTCCATATTTTTTATTCTTTGTTCCTTATTTCCAACTTTCTCCTCGTCCTCTTTTTTACGCCTGGACTCGATATATTCGGTGGCAAGTACAAGAGGTTCGTGACCTTGCGTGAACTCCGAACTCATTTTTTTAATAAGGTCAAGGTCGTTAGCCGAGCCGCCTGTGGTCCAGTCAATTTTTCTCAGGTTGTCGTTCTGCGATTGGATAGACGGACGGATGGATGGTTGGATGGATGGATGGATGGTTGGATGGATGGATGGATAGTTGTGGGATTGAGGTGATTGCTTGATGTTGATTGGTTGGCTGGTTGATTGTAAAAATGACGATGTATTCATTTGCTTACACATACCACACATACACAGACACAAATAAACACACACTTTTTCTCAGTGTCACACAGACACACACACACACACACACAGACACACACACACACACACACAGACACACACACACACACACACACACACACTAACAAACACTTTTCTCTCTCTCTCTCTTTCTCTCTTTCTCTCTCTCTCTCTCTCTCTCTCTCTCTCTCTCTCTCTCTCTCTCTCTCTCATACAGACAAACCCATCACACCTGTATGACAAGATATCTTCCAGGATCACGGGCCATATGAACAAATATTTCGGTTAGTTCGTCGAAGGATGGACGCGAGTAAGCGTCCACCAACCAGCCTAAAGCAATGTGTGGAGAGTGTGTGGTGTGTATTTCTGTGTGGAGTGTGTGGCATGCGGTGTGTGTTTCTGTGTGGAGTGTGTGGCATGTGGTGTGTGTATCTGTGTGGAGTATGTGGCGTGTGGTGTGTGTTTCTGTGTGGCGTGTGGCATGCATTTCTGTGTGGAGTGTGTGGCGTGTGGCCTGTATTTCTGAGTGGAGTGTCAATTTGTCATGCTTTTGTAAGGTTACGTTGTTACTAGAACCATGTAAACACTCGGATGAAATTTTAAAAGCAAGGGAATAAACATTGTATGTATATATATATATATATATATAATATATATATATATAAAAATAATAAATAAATATATATATAGTATATACATCGGTTGTGCACACAAACACACCCACACATACATACATACAAACATACAGATACACACACATGTATAGATACAAAACACACGCACATATAGACACAAACAAACAAACAAACAAACATAGACCCACATACAAACATACATTTGATCATGACCATGTAGACATCGATGGTGCATATAGAGGGCTGTGCCAACCTCTCTCCCCTCTCGAGTTGGTCCACCAAACTTTGGATGGGGATATTTTCATAGGGGTGGTTCCCAAATGTACAAATTTCCCAAATTGTTACTCCTAAAGTATGTATGTTTGTATGTATGTATTGATTGATTGGTTGATTGATTGATTGATTGATTAATAGATAGATTGATTGATTGATAGATAGATAGATAGATATATAGATAGATAGATAGATAGATAGATTGATTGATTGATTGATTGATTGATTGATTGATTGATTGATTGATTGATTGATTGATTGATTGATTGATTGATTGATTGATTGATTGATTGATTGATTGAAGTACTGCGAAATTTCTAACCAAAACCCCAGACGTCGCTCTTGTC